ATTTCATATGAAGGTCCGAGCAAGTAAAACATATGAGAGGAAATTAATTGCATATTAATGAAGTACGGTTAATTATTCGCATTGTTATTAAATGCAGAAACAATATTTACTTTACTTCTGAATGTATTATCAATTTATTTTTGTTATGGTCAAGTTAATACATTCTCTTGTTGAATGGTCATCATTGCAAGTGGATCAAAATGTTTGTATTGAACGTTTAGGTCAACTATGAGTGCATTTTCGGGTAAAAACTACCTATTTCTGTTACCTAGATAAAGCATCTAAAACTCTCTAAGAGCTATAGTAACCAATATGTCGCTGAGTACCTAACGGGTAACCGGGGCTCCGGCTCGACGTGCAGGAGAAGGAACGGGGTTGTTTTTAGTCAGTAAGAGTCTGATACTCCCTCCCGCCTCACCCAGGTGGGAGCAGTCATTCGATGATTTTCCCCACTTAAAAAAAATAGTAACCAATATAATTATCTAGATAATAATTTCTACCTAAGATTGTATCTCAAAGGATAGCGACCTTAAAATGAACATTTCATTTCCAAGTATTAAAATTAAATGGCGACTTGAACGTGCCACGACTTATCTCCTCCTCAAATCTGTTTAACAACACCACAAGAAGACGTATTTCAAAGACCCTTTCATGGCGGACATCTTTTTTATATTCAGTTATCCACGTGGATAAAATCCGGGTCAGAGCCAGTCACAAACAGTATAATAAAATTTACTTACTTCATCCCTCCCATATTCCCTCACATTTTCCCTTATCAGTACCTCCTATGCTTTGATAAAAACACTCACGATTCGTCGCTAATCCTCGTCATCTGAGGGAGAGGTACTCTTGACCACGAAATGAAGTTTCGTCAGAAAGATTTATGTTTATTAACTTTATGCAATGTGTTACATTTTTTGTGACGTGTTTACGCCTAATCTGCTATACTAACTTTGATGGGATTTGTACAAAGATATTTAGAAGTATGGGAAGGATTGTTATTTGCTAGAAATATATTTTTTCTTGGAAAATAAAACTTGTTATCGAAGACTAGATATCAATCAAAAGGTAAGTAAATTCATGTAAAGAAACTAGTTTTTGATTGTAGGTACTATAATTACGTCAGATCATCGACTTGAATAGAAAAGTGGGGCAGAATCGAATAGTTACTACTGAGTAATAATTATTGTTGGTGAACACTGTCATTGGAATTGTCACTGGCTTATAATTAAATTGTATTATTAGAATTCGTCAAAAACATATTTGAAAATTGTCATACAGTCAGGATTAAGGTCAACATGTAGTTAGGTACTATTAATTTGTTAAAAGACCACAATTATAATATGCTAACTAAAGAAAAACAGTTGCATGTTATAAAATAATAAGGTTCAAAGCGAGCGAAACTGTCTCTTTTACAAATAAGTGGCTTGATCATAAGAATAATTTTATCATCATCATTAGTCGCTCCGCACCCTGCCATTAAGTTTATGACTAAAATATAGTCCACTACTAATTACATGAAAGAAGGTCAAAACAGAAAAAAAAATCAAGTAAATCGAAATTACTGATTTACAACATATTTTTAAAATAAATCGTATAACCTTTAGCACAGAGTGCATTGCTGTATTCCAGGTTAAATTTTAAATCGTTTAAACTGACAAACGGCAACGATAATAGGTCTACAGGTTTCACCTTTTGAGCTGACTGACGGACTCCTTAATAATTTAAAAGCACCCATTAATGGCTTCAAGGAATTGTTTACTTACCTTATAATTTTTTATTTTATTTAGTAGTTTTAATGTCTTGGAAGTGTATTTTTGATTCCCACGTGACTATAGATAATACAAAGTTTGGATTTTTAGGTAAAAAGTTTTAAATCTTCCTTCTATTTCCAAGTACAATATTATAATTTCAGACGCCAAATTTTTAGTGAAATACGAGTCTTTAGGTATATTTATAATTAATACTTTAACGGCAAATTCGTCAGCTATTATCAATTCAGGGAATAGAGAATTAAGTTCCCTTAGTTCTGAAAAGAAGGATCCTCCAACTAGGCGAGGTGATCGCGCTTGGCGGGCTTTCTGCCTAACAGTTGTTCATTGGAATTTTCTACCCATGTTTAAACGCTTGCAAAATTCACTTAAACGATGTAGGTTTTTATGTAAATAATCTGTCTTTTATCTATATTATAACTTTCGCGAGACATACTAAATTAATTATTATGTGGTTCAACTTAGTCATGTAATTATTTCAAATCGCGGGTCGCGGAATGCTGCTCATGAATATCAGCCACTAGCATGGCTTGAAGCCTGTCATTTATCATTAAAACATTAAAGTGCATCGCCATACTATTGAATTCCCCCAGAAAATAACAGTAATATCTACTTCACTATTAAAAAAACATTATATTTATGGCATAAGCCGGTAAACGTGCGGACGTATCACCTGATGGTAAGCAATCGACGTCGCCCATGGACACCTGGAAGACCAGAGGCGTTACAAGTGCGTTACCGGCTTTTTGGGGATTAGGAGTTTGAGGACCGTTGGTGATTCAGGGATTGAGGAGATTGCGGAAGGGGAGGGTGATTGGGCCTCCGGTTACCTCACTCACACAACAAAACACAACGCAAGCGTTGCTTCACGTCAGTTTTCTGTAAGGCCGTGGTATCACTCCGGTCGAGCCGGTCCGTTCGTGCCGAAGCATGGCTCTCCCACACCTATAATAATAATAATATTGTCAAACCACAATACAGCACCAGACTACGTGGTGAATATTCAAAAGTTTCATAGTTGTACCGCAAAAATTCAATAACGTTGAGGGTAGTTCAAAAAGGTACAAAAGTCTGCCTATGAGAGTAGTTTCACGTGGCTTTGATCGGCTGCTCTAAACTAGAAAACTTTGTGGAAGCGTTTTGTGTGAAAAGTGGTTTACTGTGGAAATATTTTTAACGTAACATAACAGCCTATTCTTTATAGATAGGTTAGGGCGTGGATAGTGAATGTACCGAGAAAGTAACCACAGTAGAATTAAATTGAAAAATCACACCTAGATGTTACGTTACGTATATGTTGTTATTTTATGACATAACATAACATATCATCACGCTTTTTATCCCCGAACGGGTAGGCAGAGGTGCACATTATACCACTGTACAATGTAACACCCATTTTTCACTATTTATGTTATGAGTCCCATGTAATAGGGGGTGAGCCTATTGCCATATACTAGGTACAATTCCAGACCCCATGCTGCTACTGAGATTTTTTTTAAAAACCCAGTAATACTTGGTCGACGAACGAATCGAGACCCCTTGCCCGGCAATCGCACTTGCGACCACTCGGCCAATGAGGCAGTCCTGCCCAAATTAAAATCATCCGTGGCAGTTATTTTATGACTTGTCTATTATTGTACGCTGACTGAAGAAATGGTTGTATCAATTGTAATCATTTTTGTTTTCGTGTCATTCATGCAATATCATACAACTATCACATACATTAGAGAAACCTTTAATTCCTTACTTTTCTGAAAATAATACTTATTTTTTACCATCACCTAAAAAACGCAGACGTTTTTTCCGGAGCGTTCTGTTTACACCTGTGTTTTATCATATCATTTTATATTCATTCGTGTTATAGTACACAAAATTATTAGATTTAACCTCGACTCGAATCAAAAGCATTGTACGTATATAAAATAAAACATAGTGTATTGAAACACGGATACTAATTTACGAATTTATAATAATTTTCTTGACACCCGAAGACATAATTTTCATCAGACTTATCAGCTACACTACCACACATTCGACTTTAAACTAAGCAGTTAGAGTCGAATGTGGTGTAGCTGATAAGTCTGATAAGATAGAGAGAGAGAGAGAGAGAGAGAGAGAGAGAGAGAGAGAGAAAGAGAGAGGTGAGATGAGTCTGAAAAAAAACGAAATAAGCATCTTCGGTTCATATTTTCTTCTAATGATAATACAGGTTAAAACCACATTTTAAAGCCATGTACTTAAGCAACACAAACATTATGCAGCATCTAAACGTCAGCCCTATAAGTGATTGGTTCACTAGGAGCTACTAGCTTATGCATGCGTTCGCAGCTCTGTTAGAAGTCCCATTTCACTTGCAGTATTTTATTTCCTATTTATATACACGGAAAGGAAATTGAATACTTGTGAGTCCTTGTTGAAGTGTTTTTTTAGATAAAACTTCGTTTCGTACCTTTACAAGTTTATTAGGGGAGACGAGACCTTTTTTTGCTATGGAAAAGCGATTTTGTTTTGTTTTTCTTTTGATATATTTCAATCGTCGGTTCTTTGGTGTGTTGGGTGTGATATGAGTATAATTTAGTTTGTTGTATTTTCGTATGGTTGTTATTCTAAAGCGACATAAAGTAAACTTGGATTATTGTCTTGTTTGAGACTATCATCCTAATTGGAAATGCTACCATTTCTACAAAAATATTTATCACGATTTAAACTAAAAATACTTTAACACTCCCTTGTAATTCAAATGACTGACTCCAGATTCAAAAACTTCTACCATCCTATTATTATATAGCTGCACAAGGCTGCAAAAGCCGATACTCAACATAAACGCACATACAAAAAATATAAATGAATAATATTTCCACTGATTTAAAATTTAAAGGCAAAAATGTTGCCAATTTTACTGCTCGTTATTTCGCGAGAACTGTAAGAGCCAGTTAAAACGGAATGGGACCATACGCTTATTATATTTCCACCCTACATTGGAATAAATACATATTTATATAAAGTGTTTTAATGGTTTCCCCTGTTCAGTATTGAAACTTTTAATGGGGACGATGGTTGTGCTCAACGTGGTAAACCAACGCTTTACTTTCACGGCACATTTATGCGTTTGTGAACCGTTTTAATATTTCTGGTTTTAATTCAGAAGATAACGGTTAATTTGTTTTCAACTTTCATAATTTAAAAATTATTTCCCAGGAATCTAATGATTATTTTCTTTTGTTACAGAAAGTATTGACAAATCTGGCGAAGATCCCGTGATAGCAGCACTAAGGCCATACGGAGCACCAGACGACGATGATGGCCCACGAGACCCTTACAACTTCCAAAAACTATTTGGTAACACATCGGTGACGAGTAAACACGAAGTTACCACCGACGACGTATCGTTAGTCGAGCATTTCATTAACGTAGAACATAGTTACGATAATAACGATACTAAAAGTAATTTAGATGACAATTCAGATTTAAGAGATTACAATGGCACAGCAGAGAATGTGACTATAACAAGACCGGTGCATGAAGATGTAGTGACAAAGTTCCTAAGATTGATAGAGACGCAACATTTACTTGGTGAGAATTGTACAGCTGGGACTCATTTGAATTTAGGAGAAGGTGTGGTAGACAGATACGCACAAGAAAGATTTAGAATAGAAGCTGATGTGGCAGTGAATAGAGCTAATATGCTAACAAGATTATGGAAGTACGCTGGTCCATCAGTCATGCACAATGAGTATTTACTCCACGCGAGTGTGTTCTCCATGGTAGAATTTGATGATGATATCTTCGCGGCTGGAAATTGTTATGATCAGTTGCAATACAAAGATTATCAGTTGTTCTGTCCATTCGCGTACCGCTTGCCCGAAGGCCCGATCCTGGCGAAGGATTTAGCTGTAGAATACAAATATTTGAGCAACACATCGGAGTGGTTCTACATCGCACGGAAGAACGCTGAGCGCGTGATCAGGAACCACAATCAGTTTAGAAGAGGTGAGTTTTAAATTGTATACTTTAAGCGTGTTTTATTAGGAAGAGTTTAGTATGACTTAGTTAGAAAATAAAATTTTTTATGGATAATAACCCGTAAAAATCTGTGCATAGGTCCCCAAAAATGTTAGTGCAGAGATCACCATCAATCGTTAGATAACAAATAGAACTTTATTTTTATACGAAGCAAAAATCCAAGAAAATCTACTTCACTTAGCTGTCAAATTATTCAAACATTTCGTAGAACTTGCCAATCTTCTGTTTATACAAACAAAATCCCGATTCCCGGGGGTTCGATGGCAGGCGATCGATTTAGCGTTATTTAAAACAATAGTATGGCGTCAGCATCGAACAACAATTGCGTAGTCTGTCAGTCGAGATCCTTAGTCGACAGATTTCCCTTGATTTCAAGCAAAATATTTATCCAGTTCACTTGTAAAACATTTCGTCGAATAGGAATTCCAAACTTAGTTTCCATTTTCCATATAATTTACCGTTCATTGTCCATTTTGTACAAATACTTGGTGTTTATTTAAGGAAAGAGTTTAGTGTTTTCAACTGTGAAATGTTTTCAAAAGAAGATAATTTGTTGGAAACATTTAGTTGCTTGAATTTTAGGAACTGTTTAAATGTTTTGTTTTTACATTAAATAATAAATTATTATTGAAGAGGCCTATGTCCAGTAGTGGACGAGAACAGGCTGTTGATGAATTGAATTAGATGATCTAACATAATTTTAATTAAAAAATATTAATGTAAGAATTAATAGACGCCTAAATCCACAACGTAATAGCTAAACATAGCTTATAACAAATATTTTCAATCTTACAGCAAAAATCAACAAAATTAAGTCTCACAAAACTTACTTTAGCCAATAACGCTGAATCGCGCTCTTAGCTAGAAAACTTTAATCTCTTTAATGTGTAAATAAAATCAAACTTTATACCTTCGATATAGGAACTGAAGTTAATTGAATTCAGTTCAGTACAGCGCTTCAAGTTGGGAATTAAAGTTTTCGCTGGCACCACAAGAACAACATCAGAGAAGGATTGTTTGTTGTTGGAGAGGTTTTAGAATTAAAAACTCAAGGTTTGTGTTCCCAATTAGAATAACTAGAGGCTACAGTAAGTCCTGAGGTTTGAGAACTACTTAAAATACAGTATTAGTGGAGTGGATTTATGCAAATAGATGAACAAATTGAGGACTAAGATTATCACTGTGAACACTAAAATGGACAAATCTGGACTAGATCATTGATCTATCGATTAGTCATTTCTAGAGGTATGTTACTATGAAGGAGGTTGTTTACAACCAAAAGCTATGAAACACAATGAAGAAATAAATGTATAATACATGACAAACATAAGTCATAGAAATAAAACTCCCAAAAACAAAAAAAATATTTTTGAAATCGGTCCCGGCGTCCTCGAGTAATCGAGTTACAAATATATAAAAAAATACAGTCGAATTGAGAACCTCCTCCTTTTTTTGAAGTCGTTTGTAAACTATCAATAAACAAAAGCATCATGCGTTACGTCAACTAATCTAAAAACAGGACAAAAGCACTTCCAATTGGAGATTTATATAAAAATACTTTGTAGTAAATTACGACAGGAACAATGTTTTTCTAGGACTAAAGGCAACAGTACTGTTCAACTGTTTATTTCTAAGAACTTGCTAACAGCCGATTGAAACTTTAACTTACTTAAAAGAAATCCCTTTATTTTTTGCTCTGAGCTTGCGAGACGTAAATCTCAGATCTTTATTTTGCAATCAATTCTCTGTGAGTGAGCTTGTGATTTTTAATCTGGAGTCTTGTTTTGTACTACCTACTTGGCGATTACATACCGACTTGTAAATAATTAATACGTATTACCTTTAGGAAATGATGTTTTTGCGATTCTTTCTCTTACTATTCTGTTTGGAGTGAAGATAATTTGAACGTCTTAGACTTAAATACCAATTTATACAATAATCAAATAATGTATATTAAGAAACCACAGACAAAATCAGAAAGCTTTTTATTTAATGATAGGGATGCTTTGTTGGTCCTAAACATTCACAAGTATTGCAATGATTTTTATTTAAGACGAGCGTAATAAATAATCAAAAATTGATAAACCAAAAAATAACTTATTTAAGATCAGGTAACAATATTATAGGTACGCTCTGATTTCCGAAATAAATTCCCTCAATCAGCACTAAATGATAAATTCATGACGATGAGCATCATCCAAACCTCCATTTTATAATTATTCATCCTTAATTATTTCTACTTTCGAATGTATGAATACTTTAATGTTTTCGGAATGAGAATTCTGATGAGAATCCGGTCAAATTGCCACGGGTAATGATCTCGACTTCGGATCGTATGAGCGTGGGATTGGTCAATAATGATTTATTTAATTATAGGTTAATTTTGATCTCGATAATATTTATCATATTCTGTTTGTATTTCAATAAGTTAATTGACTTTAATTCAGTTTATCAAAATATTAATATTATATTAATTGTGATCATCGGATCTAGCCCAACTTGTTGCCGAAATTCCTGATCTAGACCCTAGTTTCCTGATGAGACATACTAAATTAACTAAAGAAACCGCGGGTTACTCACGTGAATATAGGTAGGTACTGAGAAAAGCTCTACTAGTTTCGAACCACAGGCTCGGTGGTAGGCTGCGCGACATCGCCGCGACGAACCGCTCTGTGGTTCGAAACTAGTAGCGCTTTTCTTAGTACCTTATATTGACGTGAGTAACCGGCGGTTTTTAGTTAATTTATCAATAGTTTTTTTGTGAAATGACAGATATGCCACGATATTTAAGTACAGCACAAAATTGAGTAGCCTTTCAATATTTGGGCGTTAATATTTTTTCTTTTTTTTTATAATCATAGCAGTGTACAGATATTGAGTTTACAAATTATTTCCATAAAATCGGTTTAGCGGTTTTGTTTTTTATTATACACGTGTAACGTTATTACATAGGAATTCTAAGGAAAAACAAAACTAAACTTTATTCATATCTATTCGATTTATTAAATAACTTTAAAAACAAATAATACCTCGTAGGGTTAGACATATTAATGTAGACATGTTAATTTTAAGTTCAAATGAAAATATTGAACATTAATATGTAGTCAAACTGGACAATTTCAACTCTATATAATATTCTGTGGTTAATAAAAATTTGAAAATAAAATGAACCTACAGAGAACTCGTCTCCCGTCTCAAACAAATCAGGGTTTTTCTATTTTAATAATAGTCTGTAGATCCCTTGACAATATTCTTCTAATTATCTTAGAGACCACTTAAAGGAAAGTTTTGGTTATTTTCTCATCTTTATATGTTTCTTGAAGGTTTAATAAGTATAAGCACACATTTGTATAATTAAATTATAGTTGTAACGTGTATTGGCCACCCTTTATTGTTTACATCCCATAACAAATTGCTTATCAACTAACTAATAAATAATAAAACCTTGCTGTCCAATAATCGACGATGATAATTTTGAGACGGCAGGAAGTTCATTGATTAGGTACATGTTATCACACATATTTCAGAAGCTAAGCAGCGTAACTGGCTGCTTTGAAAGGACACGTGACAGCGATATCCAAGCACAAAGCTACGATGTCACTAGTAGCATTGTGCCTTGTTGCTAGGGACGCACTTACGATGACTGCCATTGTAAATATTTTTACTTTAACTTGTCGAGTACCGGTTTTGTAGACACAATTATAGAACAATAGGTTGCGGTCACCGGTGACCGCTTGGTGTTTGACAGTTTAATGGTTTTAGTGGAGGTGAACTGTTTCACTGTACTTGAGTTGAGTCATGTAAATGTGACTGAAGTATATGAAAACTGGATAAATATTATTTAATCATTTCGAATGTTTGTAAATGACTTAACAAGATAATAATGGAGTCCAGTGTTATTAAAATAATAGACTTATATAGAGGTAGTTAAGTTCTATTTGTTTAATAAAAAAAATATTCAACTAAAAATATATTGTGTGTCGAATATGCAAAGCGCATTTAATTTAATTACATTTCATATACAATTTTTCACCATTTTTTTAGCAACATTAAACCAAAACTGGGTTGCATTGGTACTCACTTTTGCTTAATAAGTATTTTATAAACCTATCAATTATCTACTTACAAATAACAATATAGTATCTTGACATAAGAATAGTAATATAACAAATTAATTTCATCACCCAGGCACCTTGCACAGAATTATATTAATTTATTGAAAAACATTCTCACTCATTTTCCACAACACGAGCCCTCAGGATAATATAAAAAAAAATCATATAACATTTTGTGCGTTCATAAAGGTTTTTAATCATTATTCAATACTGTGTCACGATAAAGCCCAATAAATTACATTTTGATCTGCAATATCATTGTCCGGGATGTTCCCGAGTGTCACCTGTCTTTCGCCTGTCTGCCATAAATTGTCTCATTAAAAAAGATACAGGCTACATTTAACTGGGGCTCATGGATATTAATAAAACTCATCGGTGACTGCATGCTGTAAAGCCTCTTGACATATATCAGTCTTTTGCGGATTTTTATTTTGCATAATTTATTGATATGGCCAATTTGTGTCGTGTTCATGTTATCTAAGCTTGGTTTAGAAATGTTATGAATATTTAGGCATTTTCTGTCTATAAATTTATCAACTAATCCACGTTACAACTATTTTGATTTTAGAATTACCAAAATAGGCTCACCCCCTATTACGCGGGACTTAAAATATAAATAGTGAAAAGTGGGTGTTACATTGTACAGTAGCTATAAGTGCCGTAATGTGCTACTCTGCCCTACCCCTTTGGGGATAAAAGGCGTAATGCTATGTATACAATTAGCGAAATATTATGAATGATTAGTTTTACAACTTTAGAACGACGTACCACTTTTAAAATTCCAAGCACTCTTCAGTAAGTGCCAGTGAGCGAGCCGAACCTTTCATTCTCCAACTACCTTTAAAAATGAAATCCCTTTCATCATCAACCTAACACTCTCTTACCTTCCAGGGTATAACACCTACACATACAACGACACAGCGCACACTGAGAGAGAACCAGACGAGATCCTATCAGTGACGTATGAAGATGGAAAGTGGTCGAAACCGTACTACGACTGTGGAGGCGGCAACATTTGGATGCTGACATACACCGTGCCCTTCTTCGGGTACAATAATGGGACTTATTTCTTCAAGTAAGTTTATTTTCTTACTTTTTTAAATACCGTTTATCTAAAGTAGCCATAAACATACCTAATATCCTCTACTAATCCAGCCAGGAAACTTCGTACCGTATAAACATTTTTTCTCACTTTTTAAACCTTCCTTTGAATTCCACGAACATTCCAAGGTCAAAATCAGCCAAATCGGTTAAGTCGTTCTCGAGTTCTTGAGACTAACGAACTTCACTTTTATTTCTATAGATAATCATACAAATATGTGTTGTGTTTATTCCGATTTGAGGCCGGTACCATGAAGCCGTATACATTAATAAGTCTAGTCTATTAGTAGAAGTGTCTAGGCGCCTATCTATTACGATCTTGTCAAGCGAAGTTTGTCTGAACAGATATGCGATTGCTTAACCAGATAAAAAATGTAATTAATTTCTTACTGGTGCACGCTTGTCAGGACTAATTAATTTTATAAATTACGACAATCTATTACCTCTAACTAATAGGTACATTAAACATCAAAAGACGAAGAAATCTCCGAAGCTTTTTTCTTTTTTCTTTTCCTTCCATCTGAACCATACTAGAGCACCCTCATAAAAATATTGTCATTACAAATGATCCATAAAATGCAAACGTTTCACATCAAACGACTGCGGCCACGGTTTCCGCAACAAAAAGCGGGACAAACAAAATCTGGTTGAAAAAAGATTGAACGCGAAAATAGAAGTTATCAGTTCCATTTGAAGTCGTTTGAGCAATAACACAGATCGGGTCAGAGATACGCGACGACCGGCCGTTTGTCCTAGAAAATGGATTATTCATGGATACCGCAGTATCGGGACGATCTGCTGCTAAAACGTATGTTTGGAGACTTGGAAATTCTGGCTAAAAGTCGTAGTTACATGAAAGTTTTGGAATTTACAATTGAGATAAGTTACACAATCGAGATTTCTTTAGCTGTTGTTAAAAGAAAATTTAAATTGTAGCTGCAAAACGTAATATGAATGAAATGAATGCTTTAAAATACATCATGCACCCTCACAGGAATCAAAACAAAATGCTGTAAAATTAACAGAAACTGAAACTTTGTTTCAAAAGTAACGTTTATTAAGAAGTAATCCGACCATTAATAGAAATTGTCTTAATCATTCAGAAATATGATCACATTAGACACATTCACAGTAATTCACCAAAACATTTATCAAGCAAGCGACTACCAAAACACGTTATTACTATCACCTAGCCTCCCATCATATGCACACTCCATTTAGGTAAGCTACATATTAAAATGCAACCATTTTCGTACGACCCCATGTTAGCAGCTAACTGTCTGTTACCCTTTTAATGTAAGCACTAAAAACCAGTCAAATGTAGGTGTGGAGTTGTGGACGCTTGCAGTGTCCGGTTGCACAGTCCTATTGTTTTTAGGTGCAAACAACTTTATAACGTTTATTTATATTTCAACCACGATTAACTTTAGACTTGTTTTTAGTAGTCTATTTTGGTCTCTTGTATTTTGTTTCGATTGTATTTTTTTACAAGGAACTTGGCATCAAAGTATGAATGGGACGTAGGCTGAACATTGTTTTTTCTAAATGCAGTATAAGCTAAGATAGGTATCAGTTAGGATTACTGATAATTATAAAGCTAAAGAGCGCTGCAATGAATGACGCAACGATCGAGTAAAACGCAGAAGATATTATTCGGAATTTAGCACACTGATTAATTTGAATTAAACGCATTAATTGTGTAGCTGGTCAAAAATTTCCTCACCATTTTTCCCCTAAAATATACTCACACGTCCACAGGTCCACCATTAAACCCATTCTTTATATGTCAACATAAAAAAGTTTCACCATTTTACAGGCTGCCAGCTCTATTCCCCGTAAACCCTGTGGGATCAATATGTCCATAAACTTATAAAAACTTCCCCAAAAACATAATAAGGAAGCCATATTTCGTATGAAAGCGATCCCTTTGACTATAAATCTCTTATAAGAAAACTGAAGGAATATAATAAGATTAATACGGAAGCTGTTCTACTAATATTGGTAACGAAATATATTGCCGAACAATAAGGTGCTTTGTTTTTTTAATATGCCTCGTAGGGGTCGTTTTCACAAACATGGCTACCTAACAATAGTAATCGGGTTTGATTTTCAATCAGCCGGAGTAGGTATAACTCATACTTCTTATTAATATTAGAGTACACTTATTATATAAAGCTAAAGAGTTTGTTTGTTTGAATGCGCTAACCTTCGGAGCCACTAGTTCGAATTAAATATTTTTGTGTATTTTGTGTGTATAGCCCATTTATTAAGGGCGGCTATAAAACTTCAAGGTTTTTTTGTTAAGGGGGGCAATTCATCCAATGACTTCTTCCGCCCGGGTGAGGCAAGAGGGAATGTCAGACTGACTAAAAACCACCCCGTTCCTACTCCTGCACTTCTAGCCGGAACCCCGGCAACCCGTTATGTCCTCCGCGGCTCCGAATCGAATCCTTATTGGGCCCTATCTGTGGTGGTCTGATGACTATAAAACATCACGCAACGATCGATTGGAGCCGAGCAGTGAGCGAAACCGCGTAAGATTAGTCGGTACTAACACTACATTTGGAATGGCTACACGGTTGGCTGGGCAACTGTGTCGGAGGTTCGACTCCCGCACGGAACAATTCTTTGTGCGATCCACATATTGTTGTTCCGGATCTGGTTGTCATGTGTATGTGTAATTGTATGTTTGTAAACGCACCCACGACACAGAATAAAATCCTAGTGTGGGTCAACGTTTCTTAATACGAAATAAAAAGAAAAGAAATGGGCTAATTAGGTTTAACTAAAAGTAAATTGTTTCCTAGTATCAAATCGTTGGACATTCAATGTTATGTTTGATAGCTACAGTGAACATTGTTCCCGATGTAAGCAAATAGACTTGCTACCATTAAGCCTTCGCCCTCAATGGGATCTATACCTAATAACCGAATACTGGGTCACATTTAATATGTAGGTATGTCCCGGTAGCAAAATAAAATGGATGATTATTTATGTCATGTTACAAAATAAACAAATAGCTTCTGTAATATTGACTGCAAAATATATTGCCCCTGGGACTAGGTGCGTTATTTATTCAATTCGTAATGCATACAATGTTGTGACATATTTGAATATGTTATAACAATATGTTATAGATTTGTTTGTTTCGATCAGTGATATTTTTTTTTGCGTTGAGTTATGGGTTTCATACATTTGAGTTTGAAATAATCGGTTTTTGTTCTCAGATTACATAGCACTCATTAAAATTATCTTACACTTACTAAAGTAGCTTCTATCAGCAGGTTCGCGCCTTTTCCCGCGAGATAAAAATAGTCCTATATATGTTATTCCAAACCATATTCTACCCCTGTTCCGAATTTCATATCAATCCCTTCAGTCGTTTTGACGTGAAGGAGTGACAAACAAACATACTAACTTTCGGGTTTATAGTGTAAATATAACATCACGCCTTCTATCCCCGAAGGGGTAGGCAGAGGTGCACATTACGGCACTCAAAGCCAGTGTACAATGTAACACCCACTTTTCACTATTTATATTATGAGTCCCTTGCAATAGAGGGTGAGCCTTTTTTTTTTTAAGGGGGGAAAATCATCGAATGACTGCTCCCGCCTGGGTGAGGTGGGAGGGAGTGTCAGACTCTTACTGACTAAAAACCACCCCGTTCCTTCTCCTGCACGTCGAGCCGGAGCCCCGGTTACCCGTTAGGTTCTCCGCGACTCCGAATCGGCAACAGCCCTATTGGGCCCCATCTGTGGTGGTCTGATGGCTCTTTGAGGCGCGCGCGGAACGCGACGCGCCGTACGCTCGGGTCTGTTTCTGGTCGGACGGGGAGCCACCCATGCTCGCCGTCCGCAGGCCCGCGCTTACGGTGGCCGGAGATCGTCCCGCGATCCCCGACGCCCGGTGTGTCCTTCGCGATGGCTGGGTTGCGAGGAGGCAGCGCTTCGCTGCCTCACGCGTCCCGCCTCCTCCTTAGCTAGCATGACTGCTTCGCAAAAGGAGGAGACGGCATCCCAATCCCCCTCGCTCCGCATCATGGCCTGCACTAGGCCCGGACGCGAGAGGTCGCCATCGCCGATCACTTCCCTGAGGACACGGCGGTGCTCAGCCCACGAAGGGCATTCTCCCACCGTGTGTTCCACCGTGTCCTCAGGGCGGTCCTCGCAGTGATGACACCCGGGCGTTTCCTCCCGCCCCATCAGACACAGGTACCTCCCGAAACTTCCATGTCCGGTGAGGACCTGCGTCAGGCGGTAGGTGAGGACGCCGTAGCGTCTCTCAAGCCACTCCTCAAAGAGGGGACTTACCGCTGCGATGGCAGCGAGCCCAGCCCTCGGTTGCGACAGTCGTTGCTGCCATTCCGCCATGAGATCGCGCCGGAGCTCATCCCGCCACGCACTTATCTGGCGCGGCAGCGGAGTTTCGCCCCGGCGACGTGCCTCCGCGCGCATGCTGTGCACGCGCGCGAGCACCTTCGCCTCCAGATCCCACGGCGGTAATCCGGCAAGGAGGTTCGCCGACTCCCCAGAGATCGTGCGGTATCCGCGGATCATTCGGATCGCCATGACCCTCTGTGCCATGAGCAGCGTCCGAGCGGGACGCCGCAACAGGTTAGGCGCCCAAACAGGGGCGCCGTAGAGGGCCATGGACCGCACGACCCCGGCGTATAACCTCCGGCAGGAGGCGTTTGGCCCCCCGAGGTTGGGGAGGATGCGTTTAAACGCAGCCCCCGTCCTCTCCAACTTTGGAGCCAAACGTCGGAAGTGTTCAATGAAGTTCCACCGACTGTCGAGGACGAGTCCTAGGTACTTCATCGTCGTCTCGACGCCGATGGTAACTCCTCCCGCCGTTATTTGGGACCCACCCGGAGGTGGCGCGTTCCCGCGGCCATGAAAACACATGGCCTCGGACTTGTGGAGCGCCACCTCGAGTCCCAACTGCCGGATTCTCTCAACGACTGTCGCAACCGCT